TAAAATTACTTGAGTCAATCTCTTAGCAAGATGACAGAGAATGATGCAATCAAACAAAACTACAGGAAAGCAGCAGGCAAAATGTCTGTTTTTTGCTTATTTAGCATTGTCTCCAAAAACCTCTACAGACATATTTTTGATTATATTTCTATGTGACAACATATACTTTTGTTTATTTACCTATAAGCCATATCACTTCACAGAACTGATACTTCATTCCCAATAAAGGCCAAATTTTGCAGAAAAAATAACTTCGAACGTGACAAAGCCGAAGCATTAGTGAAGGCCCTCAGCAGAGCAGAAGACACAAACCAAATGTTTTAACCAAATGTTAGTAGCACTTGCCATTGAGTTACTTACTCAACACTGTAATATTTTTCTGAATCCTGTATCAGCGAGATAAGGCAGACACCGAGTTAAGCCATTACAATCCCGTCACGGTATCCTGACGATGAAATCACGAGCAAACAGGGCTAAATGAGCACAGCGGGACTGCTGAGCGCAAAATGCCACTCCTGAGATGCAGAAATGACACATTTTGGACACTGCACTCAGCACCATTCATTAATACTTGCTGTTAATAAATGTAAAGGTTGAGAACAAAACTGAGATGTGCACAAGACATAAATGTCACATGAACGTAGCACATAAATCAACTGATGAAACTCAGAAAAAGGCATTCAGAAACATTTTTTGAAAGCTGATCACCCCCAAGTGAGCAGTTTTGGATTTAATGCCCTGATAGAAGGTGGGCTTTTATGCATAAAAAATAAACAAGTGAAAAGGATTACCTCTTACAAATAACCATTTTTCCAGCCAAGTAAACAGTGGTATATTATGATAAATATTACTTGTAACACAGGTGAACTCAGTGTGGGGCTTTAGATTGGGAAAGAAACATAATTAATTAAAATATTATATGAAGAGCATTTTAAAGAGTGTACGGCATTAACTTTATTCCAAGTAGCAAAGTGTTAGGAGAGACACAGTACATAATTAATTAAAATATTATAGGAAGAGCATTTAAAAGAGTGTACGGCATTAACTTTAAGTAGCAAAGTGTTAGGAGAGACACAGCCATTTCTGCCACGCTGGTTTCAGTCAGCGGCAAAGGCGGAAGGTACTCAAGGAGCAGATGACACCAGAGAGCACGAACCAGCGCTCCTCTGCTTGACAGAATTCCAACAGCACAAGAAGAGGGAGGGAGTGGAGAGAGCAGGACACGCAGACCGGACATGCCAAGTTAGTGCTGCAGTCACCAAAATCCCCAGACAGCCTCACAAGTCTACAAATAGAGGAGCACAGAAATGATCCTCAGGCTCTGGGAAAACCATCCATTTACATGACAGACACCAGACTCATGCCCTTGACTGCTGGAATGAATGAAGTGAGAGGAAGGAATACACAGTGTAGATATAAAATATTGAAAGTAAAAGAAAATGATCACCTCCGTTTTACAAAGGAGCCCGGGGTCATACAGGGCTACAAAAAGAACTCGGGTCTCAATTTCAGTTAACTGCTTTCACTATAAAACTCTGTTTAAATAGGTATACAGTTCTTACTCCACCTAATAATCAATTATTTCATATAAAACATTTTCACATTTTTTTTCTCTCCTTTCTCTGGCTACTGCGAAACACCAATATGCCATTTTTTTTGCTGAAGCATCTTTGGGTGCAGTTGGTTTGCTCTGAAATGGAGAGAGACAGAGGTTTGCTAGGAAAAGCTAAAATAACAGATGGTCAAGTTGATCATACTGCCTGTGCTTGTTGCAATTTATTTTTATTATCATTATTACACCTATTATTTATTTTATTATTTATTATCATTATTACATCTATTTCATCTAATAATTACAGGTCATTTATATTTTGCACTTTGCAATTTTATTTTATGGAAAGTATATGCGACATACCACAAATACTGTACCTTTGCAGTCCCTTTTGGATGAAAATATAGCCTTTGAACACCATCAATTTCAAAGGTTCATTGCAAAAACAAAGTTAAAAAGATAAGCAATCCCAGAGAAGGCAACATCAAATAAAGCGACATTCCTCACAGGAACAGTAAAGATACTAAAATGTAAAATTCATCACAGGAATGACAAAAGCTTTGCATGTAAAGGAAAAAGAACTAAAAACGAACTTATTTTTAGAAACTCTGAAGAACACACAAGGAGTGATCCTGCTGCTGGTTGTGCATGGGAGTTGCACATCCACCCAAACCTCCCGGGGTAGCACGGGGGCTGACCTGGTGCGGTTCCTACTGGATCCCCAATCCTACCCACATCCCGGCCCACATTTAGGACTCGACCGTGCCATGGCCTGTGCACTGGTAGAAGTGCTCACACTGCTCCCTCATTCATGAAAAGAAATTCTGGCTTCTTCAGAGTCAGATAGTGAAAAACAGCAAAAAGAAAGAGCTTTTTCAAGTGACTACTGTACGTGGCATAATTTAGAAACAACATGCATAACACTTGGTGTTATGCACAGTATAACTTGTTAATTTTCTTTAACTTGTATCGTTGCATGAAAAGGTGCAAGGAGTGGAAAGTCTTGTTGAGACATCTATTTCAGTAGAATAAACTAGGAGAATCTGCAGAAGACAAGTGAAAAGCAAAAAAAAAAAAGGCATTTCTAAAAATACAGTAACTTAGAATGAAGTGTTAAAACAACATATGAAAATGACACATCCTCTAAAACCATTATTATCTATACTAAATGTACTCCCAACAAATATTTTTTAAGAGAGTATCTTCAATTTTTGCTTTTTTTTTCAGTATCACCTATGAGATACTGCTTTCATTTAAGCTAAACACTCTATCATCTTGCATGCAAGTATTAAAGGAGCATACATTATGTCTTGAATGGAAACTCCATCACATCATCACTGGACAAGCTAAATTCCAGCTTTAACTGACAGGTTTTAGAGGAAAAGAAAGCTACGGGAAAGAGAAGGCAAACTGTGATTGTTTCAACCACATTAGAAAATAACAACAACAAGAAACCACTGTGCTGTTTTCACTGGGACTCCCTGAGGAAGTAGAAGGGAATCTTTTAGAACACTGTAGAGGCAAAGATCAAGATACCCCTCAAGGATGACAGAAGAACCTCCAAACCTGTCTTTCTGGATCCTTTATATATTAAGAAATAAAAAATCCTATCAGTGTGAGCAAGCAGGTTTAAAAGCAGCATCATGGACCATTTTTCCATCACCTCACTATAAGTATATGTAATCTTTGGACCAAAGTCCTGCTAGAGAAAGGCAGATACCTACTCCTGCCCATTAGAGATCTAGCAGTAATCTAGATGACATCAAAATTACTACAGCCAATTAACGACTGTCATTGTGTGAATTACAGAAGATACCAACAAGAGCTTATATGACATGATAGAATTTTTTTGTTATATTCTTCATATTTAGTGTTTCTCTCAACCAAAAAAGCTATCACACACTTAACAGAATAGAGGATAAGAAGATGTATAATCCACACGTTCTCAGAAATAATAACCAACAGCAACATTAGCAGTAATGTAGCTAAGTAAAAACATAGTATAATCTATGTCTGCTGCCTGGCACATGAAGGAACATAGGTAACACGGTCAAAGTGTTCTGAACTCATCTTAACCAATTCACTAGTGAAGATGCAGAAACATCGCTAGGCCATTGATTTGAGCAGTAACAAAATGAATGTGAATTATGGCTTTGAGCAAGTTACAAATTAAAAAAAAAAAATCACTCTATTTTTAATATTGCATTGCCATGCAATAAAGTCTGGAACCACACTTTTCTTCTAAGCCTATGTAAAGAGAGTATATGGGAATGCTTTCCAAGATAGCGAGGAAACTGTCCCATCTGGCAGGGCTTACTAAGGATGCATGGAAAGCCAACAGCCAAGACATTTCAGTAGTTTCTTTTTATTTGACATCTCTACACAATTTTCCTGAGATGAGAACTTCAAGTGCTGCAGCTTTGAGGGCTGAAATTAATTTCCCAGCTTCCAGAGAGGAGTCACTGGTGTCAACCCCCTCAGTGACCTGTTACACCTGTGCAGCTGATGGCAGCAAAATGGTGCTGCCGGGTGGAACTGCACAACTCAATCCTTTCACGTGGTGATCTCGTAAAAAGCAGTAAAGGATCTTTGTAAGAAGAGAAATTGCTTTAGAAGAATAAACCCTGTGAGTAACAAAATGTTCTGTTTTAAAGAAGAGTTCTCTGCCGACCACTTCAAATTTTTTTTTTTCTTTTTTTTTTTTTTTTCCTTCCTATAGCAGCTGCCTGCCCATTCCTTTCTGGCATCCAGGACTAGCTCTGCACCCAGCCTCACCACTCCTGGAGGAGGAGCCCTAAGCTTGCACCTTGCACTCTTCATTTCTCATCCAACATCGCATTAAAACACCTTTCCTCCTTTCCTACTGCCTTTTAATTGCATTCTTCTCTATTATCAATGAACTCAAATTATATTATAAATCCCTAAGATATTTTGAGATTCAGAATATCAGTATTATGCTGCATATCTAAAATGGACTGCCTTATAATTTTTATTATGTGGCACCTTTGCCACATACATGAAGTCTTCAGGTACAATTGACCATTGCTCAACATAAGAAAAATCAACTTACCAGACATTAGCACAAACAACTAAGTGTCATCAACATCATCCTAATGTCTGCTGTGTCTCCCCTGACCACCAAGCACAGGGGATCAAAGGAGAGAACATGAAGTGTTACAAGGGATGTAAGGAGCATCCAGAAGCAGCAGTTGAGGAAAACTTTTGGGTGAAAGCAGCAATTACAATCACATTTTCTAGATAAAATCAGACTAGCACTAAAAATTCTCTGAGCAGGAGAGAAACAGAAGCAAGGGGGGTTGGACTAGATGATCTCTAGAGGTCCCTTCCAACCCTAAGCATTCTATGATTCTATGATTCTATATAAATAATAATGATGAAAATTCACAGGCAACATCACAGTTAAAATCACAGTATTTGCAAATCTTACCTCTGCTTTTATTTTATTGTCTCCAAAACAGAGGTGTTGCAAGTAAGCTGCGGCATTGGACTGCACTGAAGGGAACTGATGCTGCAACATCTGTATAACTTCAGGAAGCTCTGGATCTCGCCATCCAAACTCTCTGTGCAAAAGCAAACAAGAAAGATTCAGCAACACTGCTGCTGCTAGGGGATAAATGCCACAACAGCTTGGTCAACAATGAAGAAAGAGTTGTCTAAGCAATAAAACTTTTCTGCTTCTTTAAAAGACAATATTCAATCAATTACATAGCTATTTTCTACTTCTCTAAGCAAATGTTATAGGAAGCATATTTGGAATGAACAACATTATGTATAGAATTAAGTCGCTAAGGGTTAAAGCACTCTAGAAAAAAAAAAGAATGATGAAAATAATAAAAGAAAAGAAAGAAGAAACATGCTGATAACATTATACTTTCTCTTTTAAAATTAAATTTTGTAGCGATGGGATCAACACCCCAAACTGCTCCTAAATGCTACGGTTTGCAAAAGAGGCCTTTTTAATTACTGCAATCTTGGATTTATAAAGACTGCTGTCTTGCAGAGAAAATGATTACTTACTTCGTCTTTTGGCTTATTGTTTACAGGTATGGGACCTGCTAAACCTAAATTAATTATACAATCACACAATTACATAATTATAAAAATTGTACACTACACAATTACACCTGATTACTTTTAAACCATGATTAATACTGCTCAATTTAAGTCAGCTAGACAAATAGAAAGGCTCAGGGGTTGGACTTTCATTTAATGCTCTAATACATGGAACACCCTAACACCACATGAAAACCGAGCCCAGGAGCACTCAGCAAGACTTAGCAGGCATCCTGCTACTGCCACGGCTGCATTTCAAAGTAATTTGTCACTTCAGGCAATTTCTTCCCCTGTGTGTCTAAGAGCAAAAATGGTTATGAAAATGACTTTGGACTTGGTGCCCCAGGAGCCACTCTGCAAGAGACGCCTTTTCTTGCGTGGGAGAGAGAACTTCTCTCTCTGGAGGTGGGATAGGAGTGACATGATCTAGTCCTCAAAAGTTGTGAAAAAAGGTAGATCTCTAGTATCTGAAAAAATATTTCTAACCATTATTTATCCTTCCTGAACCAGAAGGATTCTGCTGCAGTGAGGCCAAGTGTGCATCAGTGGATGAATTAGTCTGAGTCTGGATCAAGTCTTGCAGCAGCTCTGCTGTTCATCGCAAGTAAAATCAATCACACATTTTCACACATTTAGTACAACAGTTCTCCAAGGCATTTCATTGAAACAAGCCTTGTTTTACACGAATCACGAATTATTAGGAAGCAGAGGTATTGTCTCCTACAGAATCTTTGCCAGATGGAGTGTTATCACTCTGGTTGTATCTTTATAAAGATCCAGAATATGAAACGTAAAAAAACACACTCAGAATTTAATCTGTTATTTCTGTTCTGACAAGGCAGATGTTAACTCATGAATATTAGATTTCTCATTAAGTGTTTATGACAAAGAAAACATGAAGATGTGCTAACAAATTACACATCTGCTATGCCACTGGCTGTACTCCAGACAACGTAGACTGCTGTCAGGCTCCTAATGGAGACATTTTGCATAGCTTCAGAAAGATCCCAATATTGAATATATCTTCAGAAAATGCCACACAACATTGTAAAAGATGTTAGGGAAGTCTAGGCGCGTTGACAAGCCCTCAGAGGCAAACTGGGACAGCAGGCAGCCAACAAGACGTTGGAAGCAGTTTCAAGTACGGGATAAGGGCAAGAGCTATTGATTACATGATCGGGATGTAAACAGCTTGCAGGAACGACAGAGAAGGGCACGCATTGAACACAAAGATGACTAATTGTCCTTGTGAGGTGCACAGGCCATCCATGTGCTGGAGAACTGCTGCCTTACAGCACTGGCAGAGCACCCATGGCCCTTCCTTTTGCCTTATTCTGGCGAAATCCTACAACTAAAGACAAATGTGATGGCAAATAAGCCACTTCCAAAGACACCGACATATTTCCAAGGACATCTGCTAATAAGCAGTTATTTGACTGATCACTTAATTCTACTTCAGAGTGAGGAGCACAAGTCCATAAACATGTCACACGCTTACAGGGACCAGTGACAAAACCAATGTTACGTGATGTGCTGGCTTTCCCTTAGGCTTCTCTGCTCACCTGGGATACCTAGGTAGGTTAGCAGATAGAACCTGCTAACAGCTTCTTACTAAACATTAGGCCTGCTTCACAGGTAACACAGTTTGCAAAGAAACAAATAAGCCTTCCCAAAATATTTGCTAAAGTAAATAAACAAACAAACATACTGAGGAAAAATAGATTATCCCAGCTCCGCCTCCATTTTTTTCTTGTTTTCAATATTAGATGCCAAGTACAGGCATTGGTATTTTGGAGAGGGGCCAAAAAGAGCGGAAGAAAACAGCTTACATGATGAGACAATGAGTTGCCACAGTTCAAAGTAATTGCGTCTAACTGAGTAACTAAACTTCAAAGTGTCAGAATTTCTGGCACCAAATTGTCTCCCAAAGGAAATTTCCCCTCCATAATATGCCTATTTCTTGGCAATAAATAAATAAATAAATAAAAAGGAAAAAAAAAAAAAGCCATCATTAGGTGCAACAGCACTCTATGGAGCCCGATAACCAGCTCAGCTTCTCCTTCCTTAGGCCTGGCCCAGGACAGAACAGGCAATAAACGGGCAGAGGAAACACTACCCAAAAGTCTCCTTCCTCAACGGATGAGATCTGGAGATGCTGACAGTGGCAGTTTACATTTATTGTACAAAAGCTAAATGCCACAGAATGACCTCAAGAGACGACTCTACTCCATCGAGCGCTATGGCTGCTCAATGCCCAATGCTCTAGAGCCCTGTTTTTCTCCACCCATGCACCACAAATAAAACAGTCTGGGTATTTCATTAATGCCCAGTTCTGCCAACGAGTAAGTGATGAATGACCCTTGTTGGACAAAACTCTGTGCCCGTGGGTTGGACCTAAGTGGAAAAGTCTTCCCCAAAAACAAGTTTTTAACCTAGAACATTGGGTTGGTCATGCAACCAGTTTTAAGGGCGATGAGGAACAAAACAAAAAAGAGGAGAAAATATTTAGCCTCAGCCTGCACTGTCATTTAAAGCAGATGGTCTCTAAAATGGTTATATTTTTAGTAGTTTCTAAATGAAATATGGTGGCTATATAAAACAAACAAAAACTTCTGTCAACAGTTAAGGCTGCTTGAATAATTGTGATAATTTTAGCAGCCTTCAGGGCAAGGAGGACTAGTTTGCAGGAGTATGCTTTTTAATTCCCTTTTAAAAAATATCTTCTAGGGAAAAAAATAAATGAGCTGGGGAAAGAGAGAAAAATATATTTTTAGCAAAGCTCCAGCTCTATTAAAAACTTTTCTTCAAAAAATATAATACTAATGTTATTTTTAAATTTGGCTTAATTTAAAAAAGTAAGAGCTACTAAATGAAGTCAAATGGACTGAAGAGCTTAAGGTCTTGCGCAGGAAGGAGTAGAATTTCACCAAGACGAAGGTAGAAGAGTATGTGGAACATTTTGCATAATGCATAAAAGAAAAAGGATTTAAAGAGAGAGTCAAGCAGCAGAAGGGAAAAAAATAAACAAAAAGACTGAAGAGCAAGATAGATCACCGAAGTCAAAAACTTGGAATGGAATGAGGAATAGGAAACATCACAAAACAGGCTGGGTTAAGCCCTGGAAAAGAAATTAAAATTAAATAGCAGATATCTTTTGCTGTCTCCAAGGGAAAGTTAAGGTCAGCACTTGATGAAAACCAGAGTTTGATTAAAGGAAAGAAAAGAATTGTGACAACTTCATCACGTAGCTCCATTTTTGTGAAGCACCTGATATCATGGCACATGAGCATCAGTTGAACGGCCAGCAAATGACCATCGAGAGCAGAATTAACAAGCAGGAGCAAACCAAAGAGTCTACCAAAGAGATTCCGCATCTGCACCTGAATGATGTGAATGCTGCATTTGAATATTGGCTTGAATTTGGGCAGAATTTTTTTCTGCTGCTAAGAATGTTATACACACACATACGGTTATATTTTTATAGGCACCATTTTTTTTTAAAAAAAACAACTAAATAATGACTTTTAAAGGTATAGGTCTCTCCAGCTAGTAATTAATTGTACAAGAGTTTCACACAGAATTTGAACAGTAGGGTTGATGGCTTCGTATACTTTTTATCCATTGGTCCCAGGAAATTACCAGAGAGCTTAGATTCCTATTTCTACTTCACACTTTTAGAGCACAACATGAATATTCGAATATCTGAACACTGCTTGAGGCTCAGGAACATTCCCCAGAGGCAGGATGTGAGGTCCTGCTATAGGAACCATACAGTTAAAGCCTGAACCACCAGGCATTTATCAAAGAAAGAGAATACCAACATTTTAGATATTACTCTGTACACAACTGTGCTTTTAGAACATACTTTTTAAGGCATGTGCTTGCAAGCCTAAAAGTGTGTTTTCTAGAGGTCAAATCTGAATCATTTTCTTAACATATCTTTCTTTTTTCCCAGCATACTTTGCCGTACACACACACCTGTATGCAGGCATGCAGTTGTTTCTTACTGCAGATTGCCAGCCAGCTCTGAACTACCTGCTAGGGCTTAGAGGATGCAGTACTAACATACTTGCCTTAAAAATGTAAAACACACAAGAAAGCACACTGCTTTAGCAAATAAAACACGGAGTTGTCCCTCTCTGCTCCACTCATCTTGGAAAATCGGCAGAACCCTCAACCTTATTCTTTTTCTGGCTTCTGGTCAAACCTGGCCAAGTAAATGTACAGAGCGACAAGCACATGATGACCTTCATGAAGTAACCATGAAGATGACTTCCGTCACAGATTCCCATAGATATCCATAAGACAAAGTCAAAATGACAGGTCTGCACCTAATACGGACTCCTTAAGGCCACAATGAACAAACACAAGCAGAGAGCTTGCTGTGCTTCTGCTCAGCCTTACAAGAAAGGCAGACCACACCAGGACTACACTAGCAACCTGACTCTGAAAGAGTTAGGAACAAAAAAAATGTGGCACCGTTTAGGCTAAACTTCAAAGCACAGAA